CCCTGGTGTGGTTTTGGCCTGGGCCAAACTGTGCTTGATGTGTTCCCTTGAATGACCCTGGGTCTGGGTCTGTGTTGAGAAGCAGGGCCTGGGGCCAGTGCCTGGACCAGCAGTAGTGTGTCCAGCAGGACCAGGGCAGTGCCCATCCCCTTGACCCACTTCTGGGGTCAGTTCTGGGCCACGCACAACATAAGGGACATTGAAAGGCCTGGAGCATGTTTAGAGAAGGGAACAGAGCTGGGGAAGGGTGTGGAGCACCAGGAGTAGCTGAGGGAGCTGGGAAAGGGGCTCAGCCTGGAGAAAAGTTGTCTCGTGGGTGTAAAGTTCACATGGAGTCAACTCGTGGGTGGTTTCATGGGAAAAAACCACCCCCCTCCCCAAAACCCAATTCCAGTGAGGGCTGTTAAGTAAAAAGACTTCATTTCTGCAGCAGGGAGACCCCAGGCCATGGGTTATTAGAGCTGCTCTTGTGAGCTGGCCGATCCCATGGCAAGGGACAGTGACACTGCAGGGCTTTAACCCAGGAGAGGGTCTCTGCTTGTGCCCACCTTGCTCAGACTCCTGCAGAGGAGTAACTCGGAGGCCATGAGAAGAAAACCCCAAATGCCACAGGATCAGGTGGTGAGGTGGCTGTTTCCAGGCAGGAATGTTCCCACTGGTTTCAAGTGGGATGTACAGCGAGTGAGGATTGCAGGGTGAGAACCCCTGATCCCAGTTACACCACTGGTCCCAGTAACACCACTGGGGCTTGAGGGATCGTGTCCAAGGCCGTGTGGTCCATGTCCCATCATGGGGTGCCCTCAGGAGGCAGCTTGGCTTAGTGCACTTCCCAAGGGAGATTGCCCCGAGCCCATCCAGTCATTCCTTGCTTCGTGGCACTCCACCACCAAGGTCACTCTTAACCCTTAAAACTTCAACCTCGTCCCACTCTCCTCCTAAACTTCCTGTGGGAGCCGTAACTCCTCCTCCCTCCTCCTTCAGATCTACCAGAAGATCCCGAGCACGGACCCCTCGTCCAACAAGACGCAGCAGGTCATCGCGTCCATCCGCGCCGTCAGCCTGCCCGGCAGCCCCATGGCCTCCCGCCACCACTACTCCCCCATCTACCTGTCCTGTGCCATGCTCCTGGCAGCCCTGAGCTGGCAGTACCTCAGCACCCTCTCCAAGGCCACCGAGGAGTACGTGCAGGCAGGAGACAACTGAAGGGCAGTGCCCGGGCGGGGGGACAAGTGGTGGCGGATGGGCAGCGGGGGCAGAGGCTCCTCGTCCCCTGCTGTGGGGGTGGCCCAGCACTGAGATGGTGACAAGGATGGGACACTGGGGAGCTGCAGGCCCTGGGGTGACAGTGTGGCACTGCTGCACTCCATCCTCACTGCCCTTGCTGTCTGCTTGGATGGCTGCAAATGGTGACTGGAGTCTTAGTGTTTGGGGTTGAGTATTTTTTTTCCCGCCTTCTTTCCTGTTGACCTGACTATTTTTGGTGGGTTTTTTTTGTTTGTTTGTTTTGGTTTTTTTTTCCTTTAGGATGATTTGAAATAGAAGCTCCAGTTGTTTCTTTTCTTCCTTGAGATTTGAGGCATCTTTCCAGCTCAGAGCTGAGCAAAACCCTGAAGGTTTTGCCTCTCTTTCTTAGGCAGCCTCTTCTCCCTTACCTCTGGTGCCTGTTCCATGCTGGAAAGATGCTGCTTCAGCTGGGAGAGGAATGTGCTTCCTTATCCAAGGAAAAAGCCCTGGCCACTTTCTGGTCCTCAGTGATTGACATCCTGCAGCCTGGAAACAGGCAGAGGCCGTAGTCACATTTCTGTTGTGCTGAAGGATGCTGAAATGAGCCCTTTTAATGTTAAATATATGGGAGGTGAGGTACTATGTCCCCCGGCTGAAAGGCAGCTGTGCAGCTCCCTGCCCTGGGACAGATGGGCCCTGCAGTGACACAGCTCCTGTTTCAGCACTGGGGGGAGGTGATAAAAACGAGAAGGGAGCTGCCAGCACAGCCCTGAGCTCATAACCCTAGGATTGACTCCACAGCAGGCTCTGGGCTCTGCACTGACTCAGCCCCAGGGGATGGGTGGTCGTGGCAGAGCAAGGCGGGCAAGTGAGAGTTTGCACCTTGCTGTCCCTCACGGGATGCTTTTTTAGGGGGGCATTTGTCACCCTGGAAGGCAGGAGTGATCCCTGCCAGGAGCTGGGAAGGCTGGAGCCACCAAGGGGGTGACCAGGGCAGGTTTCCCTGACCCACTTGGCTCTGGCTTTGGGTCAGACTGATGTGAGAGCTGCAAGAGGCTCCCACCGCTGTCATCAAACACATCTGGCTGGACTGGAAGAAACAACACTGAACACTCTGAAGAAGGCAAGTCCTGTTCTCCTGGGGTGGATTGTTTTCAAGTTTCCTACCCACCTCCTTCAAATGCTGCTTTGCTGTTGTGAAGGGAAGGAGAGCTCATGTCCTGGTCTAGGACAGAGCTACCAGGTGCAGGGTGGTGGCCTTTGCAAGGCCAAGCCCCTGTGGCCAGGCTGTTTCTCAGAAGGAGAACCCCTACTCCACAGTTCCTGGTGTACATTTAAGCTGTTGTTCTAAAAGAAACTCGTGGTAGCTCTCTTTGTGCAGCTTCCCGTCTTGTTGAAATTAAAAGTTTTCTTTGGGAAAAAAAAAAAAAGTGCTGGATCTTTTTTCTTTTCATCTGTCATTTATTTTACAGGAGTAATTTCCCTACAAGTTACAAACTTTCAGCTGATGAAATTCCAGTGGTCCCTTGGTTCTAACTCTGGGTATCAAAGTACAGCCCCATGTGCCAGACCTGGGGGAAGAATTTTAACCAGAGGGACAGGTGAGGGTCCATAAATTCACCTTGAAAGGAGTGATGGCACAGCCCTGGGCTGCAGGCACATGCTCCAGGGCCCTGGTGCATCCTCAGGGATGCTGGGGACAGGTCCTGGCTGCTCTCTGCTCCAGGTGGAAGCATCTTCCGCACCACCAGCACACACACCAGGAGGTGGCTGTCACCAGTAGGGCCACGGGACAGGGCTGGCAGTGACCACACCTGCACAAGGGAGGGGATTCTGCCCCTCTGCCCCCCTCAGGTGAAACCCCACCTGCAGAGCTGCCCCAGCCCTGGGGCCAACAGCAGGAGGATGTGGAGCTGCTGGAGAGAGTCCAGAGGAGGCCATGGAGATGTTCCAGGAGCTGGAGCCCCTCTGCTCTGGAGCCAGGCTGGGGGTGTTTATCTGGAGAAGAGAAGGATCCAGGGAGAGCTCAGAGCCCCTTCCAGAGCCTAAAGGGGCTCCAGGAGAGCTGGAGAGGGACTTGGGACAAGGGATGGAGGGACAGGACACAGGGAACGGTTTCCCACTGCCAGAGGGCAGGGATGGATGGGATATTGGGAGGAAATCCTTTCCTATGAAGGTGAGGAGGCCCTGGCACAGGGTGCCCAGAGAAGCTGTGGCTGCCTCTGGATCCCTGGAAGTCTCCAGGGCCAGGCTGGAAGGGGCTTGGAGCAGCCTGGGATAGAAGAATGTGTCCCCTGCCTGTGGCAGGGAGTGGGACTGGATGAGATTTAAGGTCCTTTCCAACCCAAACCATTCTCTGAAGACAGAAGGGTCTCACTTGGCTCCCACTCCACACAACCATCTGAGGTGGTGGAAGCCAAGCAGAAGCAGCCAGGAGCCAGGAGCCGAGACACTGGAGAAATCATTTATTGGCACAGGTGTTCCAGCCAAGTACAGCACAGCTCTGCCTCACTGGTGCCTGAGCAAGCAGAGGAAAGGGACTATTTTACAGTGCATGGAGAGCCTGCTTCACACATTTCAGACCCATAGCCTCAGGTCACTAATATATTTTGTGCTTTAAAATTAAAAAAAAAGCTCTTTGCTATATTAGTGTTGGCAAATTGCATGATTCCTCCTACACTTAAGCTATTGCCTCCCCCCAGTAACAAAAATAAGGGTTTTTACCTTCCTCAATGACTGTGGCTCAAGAAAAAAAAGCTTTAATTGTGTCCAAGTTAGTGAGACACCTCCAAGCATCTGTTTGAGCTGCCTGCAGCAGACTTGGGAACCATCCCTCAGCTTAGCATCCAGCACCTGCAGCCCCAAAGCACCCTAAATTTGGGTGCTGCACCCTTGCCCAGGCATGACCTGTGCACATCAAGCTGCTCAGCCATGGAGGAGAAGGGCTTTGCTCTTTCCAGCTCCCTCCCAGAGGCTTGCAGGCTATTTGATCAAAGGCTCTTGCAGCTCCAGCCAGGCCCTTCCCCAGCATCAATAACCCCAGAGTACAGCAGATAAAAAAGTCAGTGAACAGCTGAGGAAGGAGTGGTTTGAAAATCCAGAAGGATGGAGCAGAGCAGGCAATGCACGAGGGACTTGGTGCAGGCAGCTCTGGCCAGAGCCACCCCCACATCAAGTTCATCAGTATTTTGTTCATTAATGGGTCTAAATTTAGCCAATTCAAGGCACACATTTACAGGAAATTCTTCCCTGCTTGTTTCAGGTGCTAACAGTCAGATCAACCCATTTGGGGGTGCACAAATCCCCCCTGGCAGCATCCACCTCTGCTGCCCCACCAAGTCCCTAATCCCAGCACAAAGCTACTGTTTCCTGCCCTCCCAGTAACAAACTGGGCTGGAAAGGGTCCAGGCTAACCAGATTCCAAGAGGCCAGCAAGCTCTCCAGCAGTCCTCTGAGCAGGGAATGCCCCAATGTCCTGCTGTGACCCACCAGAAGCAGGAGGTTGGCAGAAAGCAGTCCCACCTCCAGCTCCACCATACAATTTAAAAAACAAAACAAACCCAAAAATTCTTAAAAGAGAAAAAAAACACTAACAAAAAANGCCCCAATGTCCTGCTGTGACCCACCAGAAGCAGGAGGTTGGCAGAAAGCAGTCCCACCTCCAGCTCCACCATACAATTTAAAAAACAAAACAAAAAAAAAAAAAAAAAAAAAAAAAAAAAAAAAAAAAAAAAAAAATAAAAAAAAAAAAAAAAAAAAAAAAAAAAAAAAATTAAAAAAAAAAAAAAAAAAGAAAAGATAAAAAGCCTTAATAAAGTAACCTGAACTAGAGTCTCTTTTAGAAGGGAGGGTCTCTGCACCCAACCCACTATCAGTTAAAAGCATCAGGGACTCAGGATTATTTGTGGTTTGATCAGAGTTACATCCTCTTCCAGTACTGCTCCGTCCTGGGGATGCCGGCCACAACCTCGGACTCGATGCCACAGTGGTCCTCTCCTCGCAGGATTTTGAAGAAACCTGGAAGAACACCAAGAACCAAAAAAAAAAAAAAAAGTCACCCTCTCCATCCATCCCGAGGGGAACGGGGCAGGGAAATGGGGTGGGAATTCCCGGTGGTTCTCACCGTTCTCCCCCCAGTCGGTGTTCCAGGAGTTGGCCACCAGCCAGTAGGGAGTGTTGTTCTCCACGCCCCAGCCCAGGATGCGGATGGCGTGGCCTCCCACCTGCTCCCCAGACACGTGCTGGTACACGCCTGCAAGGGAAATGTCCATTTCTCTGAGGGTTCCTAAGGTCAGGGTGACCCTGAGATCCTAAAGACTCTTTGCTTCCCCAGCCCAAGCAGCAAAGAAGGAGCCTGGAATGCTTCTGATTGTGCTTTCAAAGTTGTTTATTTCTTCTTATCTAAACATTCTTTCTCTGACCTGCTGAGCTCTGTCCAGAAAGGAAGCCATGGCAATCTGCCCCTGAGCCTTGGGTGGCTCCCACCTTATATATTCAAAACTACATGTCTATGTTTACAATTTCTTACCAACTCCTATCATCTGTGTTAGACTGTGAACCTCTACCTCAAACCAATAGAAAAGTGTCACCATCACACCAAGACATGGAGGACAAGACAAAGGAGAAGAAGGCTAGGACACGCCCAAATTCCTCCATCTTGTACCCCCATGAACCCCATTCTAAAAATCCCAAATTTCTACTTTTCTACCCTGTGTTAGTTAAAATATCCAACTACTAAAACCCTTGTGGCTTTTAATTCCTCATATAAAATAGACAGCTTTTTCCACATGCTAAAATCAAAGCCACAGATGTTTTTGACTTCGTGCCAGGGTCTCCGAGGCCCCTGCCAGGGTCTCGAGACAGCCAGGGCAGCCAGAGGGATGTCCTGGACTCTGACAGGGAAAAACACCCCAAAATGTCAGCAGGCACCATCTGTCCACAGCACAGGGCGCTCACAGCCTGGGGGCCACCCAGTGTCACAAACCCCAGAGTTGGCTAAGGAGGGGTTTTTGGTTAAATGTGAATCTGAAACTTAGTGTAGAGTCTGGAAGAAGGAGTTCTGCTGGGGAGATAGCAACAGGACAGAAGGGGGAGGTTTTAAACTAAAAGATGGGAGATTTAGGTTGGGTGTTAGGAGCAAATCCTTCCCTGTGAGGATGGGGAGGCCCTGGCACAGGCTGGCCAGAGAAGCTGTGGCTGCTCCTGGATTCCTGGAAGTGTCCAAGGCCAGGCTGGAGAGGGCTTGGATCAACCTGGGATAGTGGAAGGTGTCCCTGCCCATGGCAGGGGGTTGGAACAGGATGATTTTTTAAATATTATCCTCCCAAACCATTCCATGATTCTGTGACTGATGCTCAGCACCAGCTGAGCACACAGGACACCCAGAGGCATTCCCCAAGGGAATGCTATTCACAAGAGTTTTGAGGTCCCAAATCTGAGCTGTTGCAGTCAGCTGGAATTTGGGGTGCTTCCCATTAGGGCTCCTTCCCTGATCCAGTCCCAAGAACCAATTACCCTTGCTATGGATACAGGAAATGGCATCTGCCCGTGTCCTTGCCACACCAGAGACTCAGGTGTGAGGCTGAGATCTCCAAGACTGGAGCAGACAGACCAGGGCCACAAAAGAGGGACAAAAAGAGGCACAGAAGAGGGTTGAAGCTCCCCCCACAGCCCCAGTGCTGCTGCTCACCAGATTTGTACATCAGGAAATCCTCGTAGACAATGAAGGCTCCTTCCACGGGGCCGTTCTTGTAGATCTCAGCCATGATTTCCTTCTCACTGCGAGGGACTCCGTAGGATGTGATGCCTAAAAGGAGAAGAATTCCCACCATTAGGATGGCATGGTCAGGCCACACAGGATGGCTCAGTGTGACCCTGCAGGAGGCCTCTTGCACTTAAATTCAGGTTAAATCCAAACCCGGCAGCTCCAGAGGGACTGACACAGCCAAGCAGGAAAAGTGGGCTCCAGCCACCCCTCTTCCAGAGGGAATTATTTAATCTGAGTCCTATTCTGTACCCAAAGACCTATTCCAGACAGCTTGAGTGGGAAGGGACTTTTTTCCCTGCTACATTCTGCTTTGCAAAACCCATAATACTCAAGGTGAAGACACATCTCCAAGAAACAGACGGATTATCTTAGAAGTACAGGGCTGGCTGCTGCCAAGGAGACTTGGAGGTGGCTTTGACACCAGATGGGGCTCAGCACTACACACCTCAAGCCAGCCACCTGCACCACGAGGACTCAAACCTGTTCCACCAGTTCCCCCTTCCCAGCTGAGTCTCAGCAAACACAAACTCTGCATCTGCCACACTCGGGTTTGCTCCAGGACTGCCAGAATGGAGCCTCCAGGGACAGGGCACAGGGGGGGAAAAAACACACCAGGAATGGGTTCAATCCTGCCCACCCCTCCCAGCTGCCACGAGGAGCAGCTCTGGAGGGCACCTCCCTTACCATAGTGCTTGTCCTCCTTGTATGAGGGCGAGTAGCCGGGCTCACAGTGCCGGCTGCACCTCGGGGTGCTCCCTCCCTCCCCGGTGCAGGGGGGCCGGGTGCCGTTCACGTGGTGCTCGCAGGGTGGGATGGAGTAGGGCCGGCAGCCTGTCCAGGACAGAGGTGACATCAGCTGGCTGTCCCCAGAGATCCCGACAGCCACGCTGGAGAAGGCAGCAGAAGCCCCAGGAAAGAGCCTTTCTGCCCCAGGAACCCCAAAAATCAGTGGGGTGTAGGAGATCTTCCCCTGCCAAACTGGCAATCCCTCCACGAGCAACGTGTTTCCCACCAGACCTGCTTCCCACCACCTCCCTCTCCCAAACGGTGATGGAAAAGGTGGAAACATGAATCAGGTAATGACAGGGAGAGGCAGAGGGTTCCAGTCTGAAAGTTTTTTTTTTTTAAAGGGGGAACATGTCAGGAAGACTCCTGACCTCATCCAAAGCGTAGTGAACTGGTTCAAAACCAGCAATAACACAAAATTCACAGGCTGATTCATTCTTGCTATGGAAACAGGAGCCTTGTGGGGTGGGTTGAGGGCTGCTGGCTCCCTTCCCAGATCTGCCTCTGGGTGCTGCTCAGGCACCCTTGTCCCAAAGGAGTGGCTGGAAGGAGCCATGAGGGCACGGGCAGCCAGCTGGGACTGCAGAGGTGCTCGAGTTGAAGGAGGGAGCAGCCACAAGGATGCAGACCAGGAGAAAAGCAGCCCAAAAAACAGGAGCCTCAACCAAGCAGAGATGCTCCTCCCTACTTCCCCAAGGGTGTCTGCCAGGACTTACCCACGTGGGAATCGTAGAGCCCCCCGGACACGAGGCCCCTCTCTGTCCAGTACCTCCATGCACCAGAGGGGTAACCACCATTGCACCTGGGAGGAGAGGCACCAGCTCCAGCCCCAGCCATCCCGTTCTGGGAGAGGCAAGGGAACAGAGCCAGCCTGGGATGGTTCAGAGGAAGGTTTGGGCACATTAAGCCTTTTCTTAGGCTGTTCTTTTCTTCCCCAGGATCTGCCTTGAGACACCAAGGTTTCGGGCAAGGAGGTAACACGGCTCCAAATCCCAAAGTGCCTTCTTACCAGGTCCCTGACCAGCTTCTGCTGCCAGGAGCAACAGAACTTGGAGACTCAACTCCCTACCCTGTGCTCAACAACTGGGAAAGCTGCAGGTAAAAGGCTTGTGCCTGAAAATCAAGGGTCTGGGACTAAGAAAAGATCCTTCCTTTGGTTTTGGCAGCTGCCAGCTCTGTGTGGAAGAGCAGCACTATGTGCTTGCAGCCATCAGCACCCACTGTGCTGGGGGCAGGATGTGTCCCAGTCCCTCAAATCACCTTTACGTTCCCACCTAACTCCCTCATCCACAGCACAAACCTCTGGAGGAGCTCCGTGCTCGTAAGGGAGACAATTAAGGCAGGGCTGAAGCAATCAGCACCTCCAGGGTCTGCCCCTGCTCCCCCCAGCCACCTCCCAGGTGCACAGGGACCAGGAGCAGCTCACCCCATGCCACACTCAAAGCCACAGCACGACAGCAGGTCCTCAGCTGAGACCTCCACGCTGACCTTGGCGTTGGTGTGGACACAGATCCGGTCTGAAATCGCCTCCACGGCGCCAAAAGCCTGAGGGCAACCCCAAAACACCCATTAGAGCTGGCCAGGGGAGAGAAACCAGGAAACCTCCTGGAAATGAGAGCAGCAAGCATGGCCTGGCTGGGAGAAGCCACCCAGGAGCTCAGACACTGCAGGATCCCACAGTGTCCCCTCACAAAGGGAAACAAAGGTGCTCCAGGGGCTGGAGCCCCTCTGCTCTGGAGCCAGGTTGGGTGAGCTGGGGGTGTTCCCTGGAGAAGAGAAGGATCCAGGGAGAGCTCAGAGCTCCTTCCAGAGCCTAAAGGGGCTCCAGGAGAGCTGGAGAGGGACTTGGGACAAGGGATGGAGGGACAGGACACAGGGAATGGCTGCACACTGCCAGAGGGCAGGGATGGATGGGATATTGGGAAGGAATTCCTGCCTGTGAGGGTGGTGAGGCCCTGGCACAGGTTTCCCAGAGAAGCTGTGGCTGCCCCTGGATCCCTGGAAGTGTCCAAGGCCAGGCTGGACAGGGCTTGGAACAACCTGGGAGAGTGGAAGGTGCCTCTGCCCATGGCAGGGGGCTCAGCAGCAAATACAAAGGTGTGGGTTTTGCCCAGTAAATTTTATGAACACGACATTAAACTTCCCCTGTCCTTACCCAGCAGGAGCCACAGGAGCCCTGGTCCCTGATCTCGCTGATGGTGGGACAGTTGGGCCACTGCGTCCGCGAGTCGAAGTTATCAGGCAGCTCCACATCTGCAGCAAAATCCACCCTGTGAGGAGAGGGAAATCCTGTCTCAGGAGCACCAGCGAACCACCACGGGGTGCACTGCACTCTCCAACCTCCTCTGAAGGTGGAAGGTGGCCTGGAGGACGTTTGTGTTGTTTGCTTACTGAAGGAGCATAAATGGTTATGCTGTCCTTAGATCAGGTCAGCAGCTCCTCTGGCGTGTTCATTTTCAAGGATAACAAACTGCACAACTGGCTGAGTATTTGGCAGGACACAGGATGGATTTTCCCCTCACGTGTGCTCCGTGCTTAATTCCATGAAAAATGTCCACCAAGCTGCACCAATGTCCACCCTGCTGCCCACAGCCTGCCAGGAGAGCCCCTGACCCACTCCAGATGCTCATGAAGGATCCACACAAGTTCTACAGGAGCTTCACCTTCTCCTCCCTGCACTCACCTCTCGGGGAGCTTGGGCCCACCCAGGAAGGTGCCACAGAGCTTCTTCACGTAGCTCATGTCAGCATTGTGGAAGTTGTGTCCTGCCTGGGGAGAGACACACACAGCATTGGGACACGACTCTCCAGAGCCACCGGGAGCATCTCTGGGATCACAGCCCAGTGCTCCAGAGCTCCCTGAACCCCAACCAGAGTCTGACACTTGCTGCAAAGCCCAGGGGCCAAGAGCCAAGCACCTACAGACACAAAACACAGCCCAGGATCTGCCCATCAGGACCAGTGAGGTCCAGCTTGAGGCTTTGGACAGAGCAAAGCAGCCAAGGAGGGTCAGGTCACCAATAACTGGACACTCACCGCTTGTCTCCAGCCCCCTGCAGAGTTTCCTACTCTTACATTGCTCCTGTTCCACAAATTCACCCTGCTCTGCTCCAAGGAGGAGCTCACAGTTCCTGTCACTGCAGGAATCCCTGGCAGCATCACCTCACTGGAAATGCCAGCTGGGACCAAGGCTGGATCTGTGTCACCACCACAGTGACCCTCCCAAAGCTGAGACACTGAACCCCACAGAGACCGTCAGCAATGCCTCTCCAAAAGAACCCCAAATCAGCCCAGTACTCACCTTCCAGGTGGTGTTGAGCTTGTTTATGTGGTTGACCAGGTCATCAGAGAGAGGAGGGAAGTAAGGAATGCTGCGAGCGTTGGCAAAGGCCACCAGGACACACAGGAGGGACACGGGTGGCCACATCTTGGCTGCTGAACAGGACACTCCACCTGCAGCCAGATTGGAGCATCATTGGAAACATTCCCAGGGTGGGCTCAGCTGCAGCAACACGTGGGAGGATAAAATCTGGTGTGGCTGCAGCAGATCCCTCCAGATCCCCAACTGCCCCAAAGGTCAGGAGAGAGACACAGGAACAGAGCAACCCCCCTCCCGCAGCTCAGGAGAAATCAGACAAGGCAATCTTGTTTGTTGACCACTGCAAGATTAGCAGCAGCAGGAAAATACCTTTTGAAGCAGATCCAAGGGATTTGGAGGGTATTAAAACCTGTGTTTACTTCCACAGCAATGGAGAATAAGGACCAGGAGAAGGAATAAGTGATATCCCATCTCCACCCCAAACTTCAGGCATGGGATTTGATAGACCCTGCCCCTGCTCTTCCCTTTTAAGATGTTACTCCAAATTACATTTGTAAGAGCCTCATTTTGGCCAGCCTGCTGCCCTGGGGGTGTCACAGCCCCAGGTGTGACCCCCTGTCCATGGACCAGAGCTGTCTGTGGCTGCTCTCCTCTGCTCCTCTCCCACTGGGGCTTTTCCCCAGGGAGGTGTAGGGAGTGAGGAAAGCTCCAGTTTGGGGATCAGGGATGCAAAGGAAGAGCAGGAAAGAAAGGACACAGCCTCCCGTGCAGGAGCACAGGCACCATCAGCCCAGACACCCCAGGGCTCTGTGGTTTCCCTGCTCCCTTTAACCTAATTCACATTGAATTGCCCAACTTCACATTAACCCCAGCGCCAGCAGCCACTTGAGCCACGTCCCCACGCCTGACTCAGACACATCACGAGCTCCTTTATCTCTGCAAACACACCAGGGCACCCTCCTCCTCCTCCTCCTCCTCCTCCAAACCCTCCCAGCTCCCTCCCACCAGCCCCACATCCACCCCAAGCCTGGTGAGCACTCCAGAACCTCAGCTCCTCCACAGCAGAGATATTCAGGCTTTAATTCCTGCTCAATTCAGCCAGCTGAACCTGTAAGCACCTTTGCAAGCCCTGCTGACACGCAGCTCCTGCCAGCAGCCCCCAGAGCAGCAGAGCTGGATGAGCAGGGGATGGGGATGGGACACACACACACCTCCCTGCCGGCTGCTTCCACCCACTCCAGCCAAGTTCAGCCTTTCCAGAGAAGAAAACCCAGCAGGAGTGCCCTACTTTCTGCCAGCAGTGAGCCCAGGAGGCTGCAGCTCGCTGTATAAAGGGGCTTTTTTCTCCTTTCCCACTCCTCCTTACACCATTTATTTATTTGTTCCCCCTTCTTTGTGCTTTCAGCTCTGCCCAAAAGAAAACCAGCTGAGTTTCAGCAGCATTTGGGTCCTCTCACTCCTAAATATCACCTCTTTGAAGGGGTTTTATGTATATTTTCAGGGGTTTCATGAATATTTTCTTGCTTAGAGGTTTCTGCAGGCAAGGCACTCGCTGGCTCCCTGCTTACACAGAAGGCTACACCCAGGAAAATAAATACACATGTATAATACAACTGTGCTTTTTGCCCACAACAGGAAGCCTGCAGTTAACAAGCCTGAGCTGAAGTACCTTTTTAATGAAAAATCTTATAAAAATAATAATAATAAAAGAAAATGCACACAGACACACAAATATCGAACCCCAAAACCCCCTGTACTTCCTGCAGTCAACTCGGTATTTTCCCACAGCATAGGCAGGAGGCGTTTCTGAGGTCAGAAGTCACATGATTATAATTTTTTTTTTTTTGTTGTTTTCCAGCAAGATGTTTGTAAATCTGCTGACAGGCTGAAAAGCACCCTGCCAGGCATGGATGTGCTGCTCACACCCAGCTTTTGAGGGACATCTCCCAGCCTCGGGTTACCAGACCACGCTCTCCAGGCAACCCAAAACCAAACTGAAAATAGATCCCAGAAGTTTCTCCTGAAAGAGGCAGAGTTTCAGCTCTGCTGCTTTGCATCTGCACCCTGGACATGGCCCAGGGCCAGCAAACCCAGCAAAGCAAATAGCTGGGAGCCAGATGGCTCTTGAGGCAAAAAAAACCAAAACCTACTTGCCAAGTCTCCTGTGGGCATGGAGCCTCCCTATGGGTCATGAGAGAGCTGGGGGTGTCCAGCCTGGGGAAGAGAAGGCTCCAAGGAGACCTCTGAGCTCCTTCCAGTGCCTAAAGGGGCTCCAGGAGAGCTGGAGAGGGACTGGGGACAATGGATGGAGGGCCAGGACACAGGGAATGGCTTCCCACTGCCAGAGGGGAGGGATAGATGGGAAGGAATTTGGGATATTGGGAAGGAATTGTTGCCTGTGAGGGTGGTGAGGCACTAGAACAGGGTGCCCCAAGAGATGGGGGATGCCTCATCCCAAAAAACATTCAGCGTCAGGTTGGACAGGGCTCTGAGCAACCTGACATACAGCTAAAATACACAGTTAAAATGTCCCTGTCCATGGCAAAGAGGTTGGATTTATATGCCCTTTTAAACACTCCTTCCACCCCACATCTTTCTATTATTCTACGAGGTCTCCTATGGCTGCAGAGTTTGGGGTGGTGAGAGCTGACACCCAAGATCAGGTATGTCACGATCTGTCTGGAAAAGGAAGGGGAAATCCTCACCCCCGTGGGATTTCTTCCTCCCTAACCCCCCCTCTCCCAGGCTTTATCCTGTGTTCAGCAGGTCTATAAATAGGACACGGGCACGGGACTGGCAGGACGGATTCCCACTGACCGTGGCTCATGTGCAGCCCAACCACAACAAGCCCAGAGACCCGACAGTGACTAAAAGCTGCTGGTTTCCTCCCTCACCCCCTGTCCCAGCTGATCCGAGCAGCAAAGCTTCCCCTGGCAGTGTTATCACCCTGGTGCTTCCCCCAGCACCGCTATCTCCTCCTCACACCTAAAACCGTTTGAACCCCAGAGCAGCCCCAAAACCAAAATTGCATCGCAGCTGCCGCACCCCAACATCTGCTCCCCGCTTCGTGCACAGCAAACAGGGCAGAGGAGTTTCCCCAGGAACCCCAGCAGATCCTTTCCCTCTGCACCCCACAACATCTCCAGAGGTGCCTCAGCTTCAGGATAACCCTGGCTAAGGCTGATCCACAGCTCACATCCCACCACCTTGGAAACAACACAAGGCTCTTGGGCTTCTCAGGACACAGCAGCTTCACCCTGCAGAATTCCCCAGGTGGCAGGAGATGTCTGGGGCTGGCAAAGAGCCCCTTGGGTTGCTCCACCTTCCCCTGGACTGAGAGCAGGGAATACTTTGAGATCCAAAGCATCTGCTAATGTCATTTCTTGAAGGGTGAGGAAGAAATAAGCAAGAAATGAACACCCACCAGCACACCTGCCCCTGGGTGGGACAGGACACTCACGATTCAGCCAGCTGGCCGCTCAGAAAGAGGAAATTTGGGCCAGCTGAGCACAGCCCCTCTCCCAGGCAGGGAGGAGGAGGCAGCGGAGGTTCTGCAGGAGCTGCTGCAGCCTGCGAGGGAGGAGAGCACCCGCAGGGCTGTGGCTGTGCTGGTGCTGCAGCATCCACCCACAGCCCTCTGAGCTGCCGCAGCGGAGGAGGAGACACCACCCAAGAGCCATCTCCATCCCTCCTGAGCAGGTCGGGGAGCCAGGGCAGCTCCCCGCCTGTTTTCTGGAGGATGGAGCTCCTGACAGTCGAACCCTGGCATCCCAACCTCAGCAGGACCCCACATCACCCTCCCAAGCAGCCAAGCAGCGAATCCCTTCACTCTTGGTTGTCCTTCCCCAAAACAAAGCCCACAAGTCCCATTTAACTTCATTTAAGAAAAAGCAACAACCCAACCCCCAAACCGGCTATTCCGAGCCCAGCTCACATGACTCAGCCGAGGCAGCTCAGACCACAGATAAGACACAGCCCTGCAGCATCTCCAGCTCTGCACTGTCTGGGCCAACCCCCTGCAGGCACAGACAGAGGCGTCCACACCTTCTGCAAGGCTCTGAGGAAGGTAAAAGCTGTCCCACCCTCCCTTCCACAACACCCCCCAGCCCTCCAGGGGTGCTCAGCACAGCCCAAATCATGTGTCCTGCTCAGCACCAGCCTTTGTCCTTTGTTCTCTCTGCCAGGGCTTGTGACTCCAAGCCACAACAAAGCGAACCCAGCGAGGTTCAGCTCCAGCTCCCGATCCAGCTCAGCCTGCTGTCACCAGGTGAGCTTGGCAGCACCAAACCCGTGCTCTGCTGACTTCATCACAGCTCTCGCTGCCTTACCGCAGCTTAAATTATTTTTTCATCGAGAAAAAAACAATATCAGGCGCTCCTCCCCATGCTTATTCCCTCCTAGCAAAGCCGGATCACTAACACAGGTCAGGTAACAGAATCCTAGAGATCTGAGTTGGAAGAGATCCTAAAGGTGATCTAATTTCAACCCTACTAGACCTGGCTGCTCTGTATCTGACAAAGTCATTCCCTCCTGAGACAAGCTGCAGCACTCACCTCCGCAGCTTCCGTGCACAGAAAGCACAAGATTCTTCCCAAATGAAGCTGTACTGATTTTTAATTCCCTCTTCTTACAGACCAGTCCATAAACCAGAGTCTTGCACAAACCCCCACACACCCCGTGCTACGGAAATCCCTTCCTTCGAGGGAAATGCCAGGAGGAAGCGATCTTTGCTACCTCACGCCCGCAGAGCATCCCCGAGAGTGGGATACGGGGATGGGAGATTTATTCCAGGCCAGAGGGACGCAGGGCAGCTTCTCCAGCGCCATTCCCAAGCCGTGGTCCCGCTCCGAACCCAGGCTGGGCTGTGCATCACGGGATGCTCCCAGGGTGCCAAAGCGACCTCGGCGTCAGCTGACGGGCAGAGCTGCGCTGTTTTCCTGTCTCGATCACAAAAACAAGGCTTCCTCTCCCCTCCCGTGACCTTTCTTGAAGGTTTGATGCGTTTCGAGGGTTCATTTTCCGGGCAACAATCCGCGCCGCAGCGCATCTCCCTCCCTCACCCCGCATCCCGCATCCCGCACTAGCCCAAAAAAATCCCCCAAAACGCCGCTGGAAAAAGCGGGAGACGCTGCTGCTGTTGTCCCTGCGGGTGCTCCGTGGCTCTCACGGAGCCGTGCAAGGGGGTGCCCCATTGCCGTGTGCCCTGGCCCTAAGCATCCCCTTCCTTACCGCTTCTTACGCGCGTCCGCGGCTCTCCCCGGGACCCACCGGGACCCACCGGCGCTCACGGCCCCGCTCGGCAGCCACGGCCAGGGCAGCTCCCGGAGGCTGAGTCATGCCGGGCTGCCCGCCCCCGGCGTGACAGCATCCTGCCTGCTGCCCGCCCCCAGAGCCCGCCTCCCTCCCTCCTTCCATCCTTCCAGCCAGCCGTCCCTGCTCCCGGCTCCATCCCTGCTCCTCCCTGCTTCCCTCCTTCCTCCCTCCTTCCTCCATCCCTGCTCGTCCCTGCTTCCCTCCTTCCTCCATCCCTGCTCCTCCCTGCTTCCCTCCTTCCTCCCTCCTTCCTCC